AGTCATTTCTATCGACGTAAAACAGGCAAGGAGCATGAAGAGCTTTGAACTTAAATAAAATAAAAAAATCACATTTTTTTAGGATCCACAGGAATTCATAAATCCTGCAATAAAATCATACAAACATCTTGACAATGTAATATTGCACGTGTATTCAAGTTCAATTAAAACTATTGAGACTCTACTCCATATAAATATACCTGTATCACGCGTGAAAAATCTGTGCAGTGGGTTTCTCCAACGAACGCGATTCGCGAATGAAAGAGCGCGCGCAACAATTAAAGGGAATGATTCAGCGACGAGTGGATGGTTGTTACCGTTGTTTCTAACTCGTAAAAAATTTTAGCATCGTGTCTATGCGCTATTCCGGCGAGAAATTGTTAGGGAACCATGTCCCGCCTATACAAAGAAAGAGAGGGAAAGAAAGGGGACAGAAGACACGACACGACCGGTGTGCGTCAATTCAAGTTTAGTGTGGTTAGCCCCGCGCGCTGCCAGACTTCAGCCTCCTTCGAACCATTTACGTCCGTGAACAAACTATTTCATCCAAAAGCGAGCAAAATAACGATAACTTTTAAAAACGAGCCAGATCGTAAAAGAGCAAGAGGCGAGCTCCCAGGTTTCGGCTTTGGTTATAAGTTCGTATTATATTAGCCGGCTTCGAACGGCTCGCCGACCAATGGTGGCGCTCGTAAAACCAGGGTTAACATTCGGTCGGGTTGTCAAGTGAAAGAGTGGCTTGAATTTCGTTGGGATCACTGTGAACGACGTTATAAGTACGTTCGTTCGGTTATACCCGGCGTTCTCGAGGCTTTCGTTCAAATTAGAGCCACCGGTCGAACCGAATCCATGAAGTACGATTCCGGGATCGTAAGCGATTCGAATTTTCTACTACCGTCGCGAATCGACATGGCTCCACACTTGTGTGTATCTGTGTGTGCGTTCTTCTTTCAACCTTTTTTCTTTTTTTTCTTCATTGAAACTTCCTATACAATTTGTACAGGCTATAATACACCACCGATTATTACACACTCCTGAATTCCACTTTTATAATCCTATTATAATCCAAAGAGAGAAAATGTTCTTCCATCAGGAGGTCCGTTTTATGTCTTTCGTCGTTAAATATCGAGGGGATGCCAACCGAAATTGTAAGCCGCGAAAGCGTTAAAGGTAATCAGTACGAGAGACACTCGATGATTCCAGCAACTGGAGAACACTGGCTCGAATTGTTCTCGGGATATAATAATGATCTTTCATTAAACGAACTTCTTCTTCTTCTTCAAATAACATTTTGTACGGTAATTGCAAACGATATAACGGCTCATATATGTATATATATATACACGGGTACAGAGTTAAATAATAGTATACTGGCTCAATTCACTGAATACCAGCCTTTGTCTTGAACTCTAGCGTCAAGGGAGGTCCCCTTATCGGTCCATTATAAATTTCTCCTATAGTTTTGCTTCATTAGCCGTTTCCGATTATTGTATCTGTTGTGGCTTCCGAACGAAAGTAAATCAAACATTACATTACATTCAATTCCAGATAATCTAACTGTCACTTTGTGAATAAATTTTAATGGGAGACACCGAGGCTAAAAGTTCCTCGGTTTTATCTTTAATGTGAAAAGAGATAGGGGAAAGTGCTTTCAATTGTTCTCGCCGTGTGAAAGCAAGCAAATCGGATGAGTGAATATATCTCGATCGTTACTTTTTCGTCTATCTCGATTATTTCACGTCGAAATAGCCAACTGTCTCGTCCTTACGGATCGAACGACACTTGAGAACACGTTGCGATAGTTTTTTATCGGACTATTTCGATGTACAAGCGGAATATTCGCATACATTGCCAGGCGTGTCGATTAGGGTTGTTGCTCTTCAACCGCGAGCAACAGAGTATCTCGATGGAATTTAGTTTAAATGTGATTTAGATGGAAAAGAAAAGAAATATGATCACTGTTAATAAAATGCAAACGAAATTCATACATTATTTTGCATATTCAGCCATGTCCGCGAGATAGAAAATTTCGCAGGAAATTTGAATCGTCAGATAAGAACTGTGAATATCTCGAAGATCAAATTAAAAATTAAATTAAGCAACGGCTAAGCAATTACTGAATGTAAGGGAATAATTAGCAGTAATTTAAGCGATATGGGCGATGCGTTTCTAAACGCGTGAAAAAATTCGAATTTGTAATCGTTTCAAAATAATTCGCGATTAAAACTCGTTCAAACGAAACGCGTTATTTTGATTTCCGTGCAATTTTCACGGAGAAACCTTACGAATTCGTTGCTTTTGCCGGTGGTGATTCGTGTTACTGTTTAAAAATACCGTGAAAAAATTGAAAAATCGCTTCGACCATGGCGGGAATGCATAAATCAAACAAGAAATTGGCAAACGCCTCCTGCTCTATCCACGTGGATATAAACTTAGCCATTGAATTGTTTAATTTAAAAAAACATAAAAAGAAGAGAACCACACGGGTGCGTGCAATGAAATTATAGGCCTGGTGAAACTCGTATCATTCTCATAATCTAACGGAACATGCTAAATACGTTTGAAACTCGGTAGCTGCACGGTAATTAGCGTACGTAAGAGATCATCAATTCAATCTGCTTTTCCTCTTTGAATCTCTACAATGACTTACAGATTTATTTCATACCCCGGAATAGTAACTAATTAGAAAGATTACTATGTCGCCTTTTCACCATCCGAAGTTTCTAAACACCGCTCTTTGTATCAATTAAATCGTATCACGCTGTCATCTCGGAGTAATTTTTTTTTAATGACAAATAATTATTCAAAACACAATCCTCGAACATTCACGAATATTCAAGCTCAACCTATTATTAAACCTCATTTACAAATAAATGCGTTATATTTACGCCAGCCTTAATGTTCACCGTATAATTCTTCTGTTTCTACTGAAATATTTTTGTACAGGTTAGATGAGTGACATATTAACCCTTTCTAAAGCGAAATCTTGCGAAATCTTTTGTGTCGGCGTTTTTAAATTTTGAACAAAATTTTTAAATTCGTCAGTTTATTAAATTGAAGTGCAAATGCGCAAAAATTAAGGATTAAATTAAGGTGAAAATGTGTGAAAAATCGCCAACAGCACGGTGCAAAGAAATTTTCACTGTAGGCGTGAAGGGCACAGTGCGAGAAAATTTTCAAAACGCCTACAGGCGTCAACAGCAGTGAAAGGGTTAATAATTTCACAGAAATATGTAACATGTGATTTGCACTAGTGTAGAGTCCCATATAAACAAAATTACGTGCAGATCTGTTGACCACAGTGGGAGTATGTACAGCACAAATAAAAATGTATAGTCGGTGGAAGAAATATAGCGTAAAATCGCATATTGCATTTTACGTTTTCATATTAAAACTGAATCAAAGCTAAAGCGCTGAAATTTCGAGCCATTATCACTGTTACAGTGTTTCGATTTTAACTGAACCAAAGCTAAAGCACACTTCGTGCAACTCTGACCGAGATTTCGAGCCATTATCATCGATACAGTGTTTCAATCGAGACTGAATCAAAGCTAAGATACACCGAGATTTCGAGACCTAATCTTCCCAAATTTCTGTCGATACACTCGAACATGTCAATTTTTATTTCTTCCACCGACTATACATACGATACGAGTGACCCGCTTTGACAATCAGATGAAGTGAATAAACATCGTTTCGAAAACTGTCATTGATACATAAATCACGTCCATTACTTTAGTACCTAAATCACAGAAGTATCATGCAGGCAATATTATTTCTATCTACCCTGTTCCTAACGTGAACAAACTACGTAATGCAGCGGTATCGAGCTCGAAACTACCCGTCCATGTCGTGACAACGAAAGATGATGCTGCTCCACGAAGGGAATGGCAAAGTTCGTAGGTGAAGCAGAGGGGTGACTAGAAATCGGAGCAAGCAACAGGTAGGCAATCCTGATTTTCAACGCGTATACGTTACATGTATATTTATCACAGCGCGGTACATTGAGGTAAATGGACGATGAGCATGCATATTAACTTACCTACACTGTGATTCTATGGCGTAGACGTCATATTGACGAGCGTTTTTTTTTTTAATTTCAATGACAATTCATGCTTTGCGGTCCGGTAAATTCGAAACACAACTCGATTGAAGATCCGACAATTGCAAATTTGTGCGACCTTTTGACAAAAAATGTTAATATCGAAGATATTATAAATTGCACATTTAATAGCAATTTCACAATCGTGAAATTTATTTCTTAACAAGATATCGACGTGTTTCAATAGCGCATAAATATTCTTACACGCAGACGAAACACCTTGCAACGATCTACGAAAGTTTGCATACATGATTAATCATTTAGAAATAAAATTACACGTAGATTCAATTTCATCGGGATTTAAACGTCCACTAACCCTTTGACGTATGATTTATTTTCCTGACTATAACGTCGGCTATTTACCGTTTTAATACTGTATTAAGTAAGAAAAGCTAACCATAGATTAACTAAATTTGGCAATCTTCAGTTTTACAAGTTAAATCGAAAATTGCAACTGAAATGAATTTTTGTTACCGATGTAACCGTGTTTATCAGATCTTGACTGTTACACGGCAAGGGGTTAAGCTACGATGGAATTTCAGTCGAACTTTCTTTCTCAGGTCAGAATTATCAGCAGATGTTTACAATACCTTGAAATGAGTTTAGACTAAACAATGTTCCTTTCATTTTATCTGGTTGCCAAAACGTATGCCCAATTCTGACGTTAGCGGGTCACTCGTATCGTATGTATAGTCGGTGGAAGAAATATAGCGAGGTGGTAAGTTTTCTCAGGCGAAAATTTGCATGTTCGAGTGTATCGACAGAAATTTGATAAGACAAGGTCTGGAAATCTCGGTCAGAGTTGCGCAAAGAGCTTTGATTCAGTCCCTTTTCCGTCATCCAGAGAAAATTCGTCGAATTTCAGTATTGCAGCACCACCAGATTATCAATCACTCACCGTTCTGCGACTGCGGCAAATGCGCGGTCGTTCCAGTGAGAGGGTGCAACGGGGGTAATTTTCTGGAAGCAGGAATACTGATGACACCACCGCTGAGGCCTGTGTGCATGCCGTTGCCGCCATGACTGCTGACAGGCGAATCACCGCTGCTACTATCGTAACTACCCTCGAGACTTCTGGCTGGCTGAGGAACTGAGGAAAGTCGATCACCTTCGACACCGAATGGTGGTGGATCCACCTGCTAGGAAAAGATCAATTACGATCGAATGCCTGTGCAAGATAAGGGCGGTCTATTTGAAATTATCGCGTCTGCAAGGCGCGCAGGAAACACATAGTCGCAATTTACGTTGCATTATAAGCAGGCTAACCCTAGCGTTAAGAGCACTGTGAGATACGAAATAATCACAGCTCTGCAGGATTCTATTCGAAACAATTACCGTATCTGCGATTACAAATCAACGTTTCGACGATCCGCGATTTAATCGAGCGATTTATATCTGGTGAACACGCACCGACTATTACGGCTTATCCGCACGGTTGGGTTAGAGGGAAATGATCTCGGGTGTCAACATTTTTTCAAACGAGACGATTGATGGTAAATATGCTGGAGAAAAGAAAAGTCGTAACTGTCGTTTTATTGTTTTATTCAATATGGTAGAGGAAATATTTCAAGTAAATTTAGATATCTGTCGAATTGCTATAGAATAGGGTTGATATAAGATTGAATTGAAAAAGAAAGAATTAAAGACAGTTAAGGTATTAATGATTGAACTATAAAGAAATTGTATCTTGTTTAAGAGCAAAGTTAGTACAATTTCAAATGTATTGAAGTAATGCTTCTGTATGTCATAAAACTGAATTCCAATCAATTTATTGAACTATAATTAATTATATCAGACTTAAAAATCTTATTATTGAATATTATTGAATATTTCAATAAATTAACATTAAAAATCTTTTAATTTTCCTTATACTTAAATCTAAATTATACTTAAATGGGATCTTTTATCACATCGTAAAAAACGAATATAAATTTTAATTATTTGCACGATAAAGGAAATACAGATTTAATATTAACCCGTACACTAACCCCTTGCCTTACAATTTTTTTAATGATTATGCATGTTAACTTCGACTATGCACTGTTTTAATACAGTGTTAAGTAAAAGCAAAAGTGGAAATATAGAGAATTTCTACTTGGTAATCGTCGGTCTTAAACTGAAACTAAATTTACAGCAAAAATACAAATTTAATAAAAATGCAATTCTTCTTTGGTCACATCTTGGCTATAATCTGCAACGCGAGTGTGTCTTGTTAAAAGGCAAGGGGTTAACTCTTTCAGAACGATGGACTCATATTTACATTCACAAAACACTATGAGAGCAACCAATAAACTCATTTTTAAACAATAAAAATAATGTATATATATCTGAAGAAAATGTAATTTTTAATAATTTAATTTAAAAAAAAATACTGAAGAGGTGACCTAATTATTACACAATCCACCGTCCGCAAAGGGTTAATGAAAGCAACAAATCTAAAATTTTCGAATACTCCCTAGAATTCCCTCTCAGCATAGCAAAAGTAGCAGAAAGCGCAGCAAAATGGCTAAAATGCAAAAAAATCCTCGCAGACGCAATAAAGCACTACCCCTAAGGAACAAAGAAGGACTAACCTCTTCCGCCGCTCTGACTTTGACTTCGTCCTGCGCCAAAGCTCTCCTCAAAGCTGTCTGCCTCGCCATAACCCGTTGTCGATCGGCGGTCAACTTACACTTCTCGCAAGTGCAAGTACGGAACTTGCAATACCTCTTGTGTCCTTTCAGAGCGATCTTCAGCCGATGATTGCGACACCGCGCGCAATTCGGCGGTGTGCGGGGACTCAGCGTGTTATTCGAGGATGAGGACGCGTTTGTTTCCATCCGGATGGAAACTGCCTCGTCCCCGGTTTCCATACTGTCGTCCTGCGGATGTTCCGGATGCTCGAATGTGTTTACACCAGTTGACTGTTGGGGAGCCAGCTCAACGGTTGTATTTTCCACGGTTTCTTTGTAAAACATTTATGACCCCTGAATCCAGGGCCGAGATACAATTTGAAGGAGGGTGGTGCTCGGAGAGACACCACCTTGTTTAGTAAGGCTGTCGTTTCCTTATCCTTGTATCATACAGTCGTGTACATCGTTGTTCTTTCGAAGTGCAAAACAAATTTTCGACATTCTTCGAGTTTCACGGTCTGCAAAGATAAGAAACGAGAAAATGTTAGAAAAAGGAATAGGGTAAATCAACGTGCTTTGTTTTACCGTCCGTAGGCAAATTGGGTAGTTTGTGTTCAAGTCTAATTTTTTTACTGTTTTATGCTTTCAAAAGAGCTGAAATTTTTTTGGAGTGCTTGTCGAAGTCTCTGCTACATTGTGCAATTGTTCGTTAAGTGAAATGTTTCAAACTTTTTTCGATAAAAATAAAAATTTCATTGGAAGAAATAAGGGAGTGAAATTTCACTTGGGTCATTTAAATACCCAGATTGCCCTACGGAGGATTGAAATAATTGTAAAATTTAAGGTATTAAGTGTGGTACGATGTAATGTATAAAATCAATAAATCCATGTGTACCATTATTTTTTATTTATCATGTATGCAGTGGATCGTAACGTGAAACCTAATTTTGGTAACAGTTAATATAACAAAAAGTAGTGGTTTAGAATTTAAAAAAAAGGGGGAAATATTATTGATATCATTTTGAACTTACTACTACGTTCACATATTTGACGTATAAAGATGGATAACTTGTACATTTTACTCCACTACAAAATCTTATACATACATAACCCTTTGCACTCCGAATTTTTTTTATATTTTCTTTCCAATAACTCCCATTATTTCAAGTGTTTCATTTGAAATGTACTTCAAAGGACAGTTGGTTGATAGGAAGCAATGTGAACAACTTTTTGCACTAATTATATTGAAAGTAGCACTGAAACTTTGCTGATACCTGATATTTATGAAATTTCTAAATACTTTTTACTGAAAAACAAATTTTTAAATGTCGAGTGTGACTAAAATAAAATCAACGTCGAGTGATCCACTAAATTACTAATTAAAAATCTGTCTTCGTATTAATAATTCTCTTATTCTGAAAGAATGTAATGCAGTAGGTACTTTGTCTAACAAAAATGAATAGTGTACATCGTAAAATAATAAACTGCACAATAATACAATATCTCTACTTCTTCAAAAATTAAATTTCAATAGTACACATCAACGTTGCAAAAAAATTCAACGGCAGCAATTTTCATTAGAAATAAGATAAAATTGACGAGAAAATCGGTAAAAATATCGCCATTACGTTGAAAATAGCACACGATCAATTGATCAGTGCAATCCTGTGCAAGGTACGCCACGGTACCTGTACACGAAATTCATCCGTCACAACGTTGCCGTCGGATTGCATTAGGCCTACATTAAGTCTATACAATTAGCGACCCAAGAAACCGCTTTCGGTCCTGTCGATTGGAACCTGACGAACAATGTAATCGACAAATACTTTTCAACAGCACTGACACACGCCGTTCAACTTAATTACAGAATTTTTCACTCTAACCGCTACTTCGCGCTAAAATACCTAAAATAAAACTTACAGTAAGGTGAAGAAACTGAACGTTCAATCAAAATGGCGGCACGTTAAATACACGACATTTCCTTCAAACTTGAATCTTAGTATTATCTCATAAATTCGTATCGAATTTTATAATTTAGATCAACACTTCGAACAAACCTTTAACTTCGATTTTTAAAAACGCAAAGTGCTTTCTCGCTCCACAATATTTTTTTTCTACTTTGATGAGACCATTATATCACCGCTATAGAATTTCTCGGAACTTTCGTTAAAATATTTTCGACAGGAACTCACGACCTAATATTTAATATGCAAAAACTTGAATTAGACAATTTTACGAAACTTCGAATTTTCGTTCACAGTCAACACGCGACTGTGTATGCAAACGACGAACTTGTTTGTAAGGTATAACACTGTAAGGCAAACCGCTACCGAAAGCGTATTCGTGTTCAGGCATTTACCGGTCTGATCGATATGTAATAGGCAGGTCAGAAGAATATCCTGTTCCGTGTAACTTATTCATGGAAATTCGATTTAAACTCACCTTTGCAATGTGTTTCTTTTGTTGTGTCGATGCGATAATTGATTTCGAAAGGATAAACCCGAAGAATCGTGTGTGTGTGTGTGTG